CTGAACAGCACTGGCTGCAGGACTAGAGCTTGTCCCTAATAAGATTTAGATTTTTCATCAACATTTATACAGTTTAATTACTTAAGCTGGATCAAAAGAGCATGTGTACACACACACAAACCTACACAAGTCTTGTGCATTACATTACTTAATACCAACTAAGTGACAAGCCAAGAACATAATATTCACACTACAAACAACATACACAAAGGTGTAGTTATTTTGGCACACACGCAAGGCTGACAGTCAGTTAAGAGGACACATACCAGTGCAATGTTATATTTGCTCTATCATGAAGGTAAAAGGTTTGCTCTTGGCCAGTGCAGAGAATTCTTATTCACAGATGACAGGCAGGTGCCCCCAGAATACATGCATCCCTGAAGGCAGGGTTATGTTTTGACTATCATACATGCAGGCACAAAAAATTAAAATTCATTTCATAACTATGAAAAGCCTTAAGGAAAAAAACCTATCAATTACAACTTAGAAGTTTTGGTTTTGGAGGAATATACATGAGGATTTTCTCTACAGATGGTTACAGATGGCTGGGATACCTATCACTTGCAAGCCAAATCCATAGTAGTCATTTGCCTTTTTCTGCCTAATTCCAGCTACCATAAAAAAAATTAATTGAGCCAATAGAGGGAAAATACAGATAACTGAAATGGTAATTTATGAACAAAGGTTTGTATAATGCTAAAAAATTGTCAGACTTTTAAATTTAATTGTCAGAATTTTAAATTTACATAAGGTAAATAAAATACACACTTCAATTCAAAATATCTTTGAAAGACAATCTCTATGCTGATAAAAAACACAAGCTGTGACACATGAGTAGTTTTGAAATCTCCTTTTCCCTTCCCTAAATAAAAAGGAGGTAAGAAGTATTATAGGCTGAAAAAAATAGGGGCTAAATTTTGGCTGAAGTCTAATATTCAACATTTCCCTTGGGATTCCAAATATTTGATTACAATTAATTACAACTGTTCATATAGGACTCATGAAACTGTTCATGTTTTTTAATGTCTGATTCTCAGTAATGCTATTGTGATAGCTTTGACAACCACAAAGAGTAGGACAATCAATCACTTTTAGTTTTGATATTTCCATACTGATGGTTGTAAAACTCCCTGTGAAACTCTCAACTAAAGCTCATGGAGTGACTAAACAGAATTAGTAAGCAAGCACTAGTAAGAAAATCCCTTTTGACTGCTGCATATTTTACTTAAAAATGTTATTTTTAGAAAATTATTTGTAATGACTATTCATTTGCCTCAGTAAGGATTTTCAGTTCTTGTCCTCAGTCTTGTGAAGGTTTTGATGGCGAGGTTAAGCTTCTGTAGACATACAGGTAAGGATTGTGTACTGCCACAGTACTTAAGTACAATTTGAGTTTGTTCTTTAAGGCAGACATTTCTAAAAGCTATCTGAACTTTATGATCATATTTATTTTGGTAGCATCTACTGTAATAATGAAAGCAAAGATAACAAGGAACAATAGGGTTTTATAGAAGATGTCACATAAGACAGTGCTACGTAGTGGAAGATGCTGAAAATCAGGCTGGAAATTTAGATGGATTGAATTGAGATGCCCCCAAAAAGAGAACCTAACAATTAGGTTCCCATGTCCTTACTTCAGACATGACATGTAGTTACAGTCTGGAGCATGATGCATTGGCAGAGAATATACCCTACAACACTCTAAGGGCTAAAAATTGGGCACCTCCTCACATATCCCTTCCTGTCATCTTTGAGGTATAAGCTGTACTTACTGTCCTGAGAGTTGAGGGAATAGCAGATGAGTAAGAAAATGTACTTTGCCTCATTCCCAAGCAGGCCTGAAACTTAAGAGCTAATAATCAAGCAAATATTTAGGCTTTTAATTTCCTACCAATATCAGTGGAATAGTAAGGGCTTAAGTAGGTAGTGAACCCCTAATATACAGCTGCATAAGATGCTTTTATTCGTAGCCATTATCTTTCACACCAAGCACAGTAAAAGAAAAAACCTTTACAAAGTACTATCTTCCCAGCAACAACTTTCCTTTGTAACTGTCACATCAGAATGACTTATTTTCATGTATCACTTTGATGTTTAAAACTATCAGACCGTAGAAACAAAGAAGAAAAAAGAAGTGTGTTCCTCAAAATAAAATACTGATATCTGAACCATCTTCTCAGGTTCTGATCCCAAGCTTACTCTGCCATTGAAAGAATTTCAAAGTTTGCATCAGGCCCAAATAAAGTGCTTTGGTTCTTGGCAGGGACTTTATACTGCACAAACAATGCAAAGTAAACTCTGGAAGAACCTCAGCTCACTACATCAGCCTCTTGTAACTCAATTTCTAGACAGTGTCAACTTGCTTCTGTCCGCACTCTCAATTCGCTTGCATCCCTTCTGAGTGTGCTGATCTCTCTCACTTTGAACTAACAACTTAAAACATAATTATATCTTAAAATCTTCCTAACCAATCACTCCTCCTGTATGGAAACATTCTGGCATTACAGACACTGTATTTGGGTACCTATGAAAACCTGTCCTTTGTGTACCTAAAAGCAAAGAGTCACTAATGTGCCAGACAAGGCAGATAACTAGCAACAAACACCCAGGTCAACAGTGTGCTCTTGGACTCTGCAGTAGGCTGGACTTCACCCTTTAGTGAGGCTGGGTCCAGAACTTTTCAATTACCAGTGAGTTAATAGGCAAGTCTTAAAGTCAAAAGGAAAAACAGGGACACTGATTTTGCCTGTAACTCAGCTGAAGGATCCATCAAGGGTTGTAGGCTCAGCCTTTTTATTCATTAAAAAAACAGGACTACCCTGGAGCCATCTTCAGGTGCACAGGCACCAGTGACAAAGAAAGTTCTTTACATTTAGACAGTTTACTACCATACCAGAATCATTTAGCCACTGTTGGTATCAAGTATCCTATTTCCTGCTCTGGAGTGTGACATGTCCCCAGTGCAACACAGAACTGGGTAACCTTCATTCTTCAAGAACACTGGGTAACTCTTGGGAAGGGTTCACAAAGCTAAACACTTTGCATCCTGAGCATCTTTACATACATCTAAAATCTTTCAAGGTAACCAAAGCCATCCATGGGAAAAACTATTTAAATCTTTACAAGAGCATGTGGTGTGTTTTGGCAAACTTCCATCCCACTTAAAAACAAACATCAAAATAAATTATAAACAAACAAAAGGATGTCCAAGTCCACAAAGAAGCTCTTGTCTTTTGTTTGCTATTGTTGTTTTGGTTTTAGGCTGATGTATGGGCTCAAAGGGCCACTGAGGGCAAAGCTACAAGACAGGCTACCACACAATGTCAGCAGAACAAAACATGAGCAATTTAAGGGCTGAAAACCAGTGCTTCCTTTCCATACACTGGCCAAATACAGACTGTTCAGCTGCATGGCTCATGACAGCACACACTGCTCACCTACGTTTATGTATTCTGAGTGGGATGCTTTTATGGCTGGGGGAAGAGCAATAAATCTATTAACCTTTAGTCAGAGTTCAACATGAAAATCAGAGCACAAGCTCCTTTTGAAAGGAAGCAAGGCAGAACTGCAAAGAGCTGGTTTTGAATACTGAACATCCTATCTTTCACAACTAATTTAGAGAATCAGAGTAATACATCAAGGTACTTGTTCAGCTCTTGCAGAAAATTGTAATGGACTTTTCACTCCTTTTCAACCAATATGAAAAAAAAAGCGTTATTTTTATACCAATTAATTTCTTTTGGCATTCTGGACCCCAGCTAGGTCACACTCAGCTGCCTGTACCTTAAATCTGTGGGACTGGTAACAATGGAAAGCCATTCCCAGAAGTGCTATTACTCCCAAGTTTGGCAGCAAGAGTGAACAGAGAATCAAATCCCTTGACTTCAAATGAATCTGTCATAAAATGTAGCTCAATCATAATGGTTTGGGATTTTTTTGTGGGTAAATTGCACCTAATTACATTGATATTAATTGTAAATGTCCTTACTCCAAGGGGCCATAAGCTTTTTTTACATACGTTAGAGCTTAAAGGGACTATGTGCCAACATATGTGCAAAATAACGTTCATTTAATAGCAATCTGATTGGCAGTGTTTAGTCATAAACAATATTTTAAAGCATTATTAGCTTAATTCCCCCTTCACTTCCAATGTGAGGCAGTGCAAACTTGAAAACAGACTGTGAAAATCCTTAACTAGACTTTCTTAGTCTTGTTCCTCACCTCTCAGGTTAGTACAATAGCTCCATCCAAATCCAGCCAGTCAGAACCATGCTACAGTACACACAAGAACAAGCACAAAGTATAGACAGGAGGAAAGTAAGGGCTGGTATTTTCCAACTCTTTCTGTTGACATAAAATACTTTAGAGTCTATATTGTCCTAGAAATAGGTTTTTTTACAGTTTTTCCATGAGTGGTATACAATAATCACAGGCTAGAACCTAGTATATTACCACCACTTACTTCCCAATAGTATACTGTTGAATGTTTTAAGAAAAGTGCTAGATCCCATGTAAGACATTTAAAAAAAAACCCTAAAACAGTAGTCAAATGAAACTGCATAAGTAATGGGATATTCTTCAGAAAGACTGCTACAAAAGATCCTCTTTTCAAGAAGTTCTCTTTGACATCATCAGGGCAACTGAACATCAGGAATGTTTGAGATATTTTGCTTGAATTGATGAAGTGTGGTATAACTGCTCTTGACTTTGGCTTTGTTGTTTGTTGGTTTGGGTTTTTTTTTCCTAAAGCTCAACAAAATGATGTATTTTTTATACCTACATATTCATTTATTTTTGCCAATATATGCATGAGGAATGTAATGAAGTGGCATTGTGCTACAAGTAGCTCAGCAGATGTTGAAATCAGTTCCAGTTCCTGAAGACAACTTCTTGACAACATAGTCTCAACATTCACAATAACCGAAACATGTGGGATTCATAACATCATCCTTACAAATATATACTCTATTCCCCTCTGTGTTGTAAACCCTCAGCCTTACTTGTTTCCTTGTACTTTATGATCGTATGTGCCTGCATGCTTATAACCAGATACATATCCTGAGTTATCCACCAGATCTTCTCGGCCAGCTCTGCCTTTTCCTTTCCCACTGGCATCAAACCTCTCTTTGTGAGAACCCGTGAATTTTGAAGTATCTGTAAGGCGTGAAACAGTTGGAGATGCAACAGTTTTCTATAGGAAGAAAAAAAGAAACAAAACAAAAAGACACATCAGAAATCAGCTATTCTTAATACAGATACTTTATGCTACTAAGATTAAAATCTTTGCTAATGACAGAGACTATGCAAATACCTACTCATTTCCAGTAATAGAATACAAAAGATGTTTGTTTCTTGCCATTACATACAATGACAATAATAATATAGAAGAAAAGGAAATAGCACAAATTATGTCAAAACCCTTTCTTTAGAAGAGACTGTCAGTATGAGATACTTCTGATTAATAATCAAGTTCTAAGCACCAAAGATATGAAGAAGTTGTATCTTGACTTCACATTTTGAACTATGTTCAAAATCCATTATGTCAGCATGAAAGCACAAAAGCCTGGCTCCACCAATATAGAACAACTATTTCAATACAACAATAATTAATTGCTTCAAAAGACAATTTCATTCTAAACTCTAGGATTTGTGAGAGAAGTAACAAACTGGAAGGACTGAAAGTTATTTCTAATATTAGCAAATTAGCATTCTATGAAATGGCACTGAGAAAAGGCTCCTTCCACTGAGGTATATCAGGTTCCTCAAAAATCAGTTTTGTTGTCATTGAGACCAAATAAAAGTGACTATAGAAACAGAAAAAACCCAAACATTTCACATAACAATACAGTAGCATGATAACCTGTGTAATTGGACTAGGAGCAGCCTCTGATCCTTAAATTTATGTTTTAAAATCAGGAGAATCAAAAAACACAAGACTTTTAAGCTAAAATGAACAAAGAGTGCTAAAATCTGGGCATCTTTTATATGTGCACCACTTGTCACTATCTGAAAGAAAATGACCACTGGAGCATTCATTTCTCGAAAGAATTGCTAAATGATGTTTGGGGACTTCCGTCTTGCAGTTTTAAGAGTACTATTTGTAGAAGTGGTTATTTTTCTATACTGAAAAAATAGGTATCAAGACAATTCTTATGAAGAAGTATTGGTCTAATATATACAACAGTTGTACAACAGTTTACTGGTAGCATCTTATAACCAGGAAAACTCCAAATGCAAGACAAGGGCAATATATTCAATGTGGAATTAATTAAACTTAAAACATACTTGCTTTCCTTGTATTTAAAAACTGCTACTTTACAGAAAATCAGTTTTATCTACATGTGCATACACTCTCTACTGTCACATCTACAAAGAAGTCTCAGAAACTCTAGTTGACTGCCTTTACCAAATTCATTCTCAGGACAGACTACACTTTCACAAATTCTGAAATCTGTAGTGGTAAATTTAATGATTATTTGAAAAAGGAAGACTACAGCTTCTGCTGCTCTGTTTCAGAGGTGTGGCATGAAATGTAGGAAATTTTCCTCAATACACAACCTACAATAAAAACATATGAGAATTTTTGTACAGTAACATATTTTGTAACATACATATTAAAACTTGTGTGAGAGTATAGAAATGCACACATATTAACATGCAAGAAGAAACAGTAAAACAAGAATTAATAGAATGGCTCATGTCAATAATGAAGGATGTTCTCAGAAAGCTATTCCCAGTGGTAAACTTGAGAAATGTGGTGTTTATATCAAGACCCCTGCATTCTGATAAGACCACAACACACACAACTTATAAGGTCCATCTTTACAACAATACGATAGCAGTATGCCACACAAGCCCTTCCTTTTCCTATTATCTGTAGGGAAAACAGCAACATGTTTCAAACCAACAAAGAAAACTGAGGATGGGCAACAGCTTGGCAGGTTAAAAAATATGATCCTTTTTCCCCAATAAACAATTAAGCAAAACCTAAAAAAGCCCTAAAACCTAAAACCTTGTGTTCCCAGTACAAGGAACAGCACAAATCCAGAGCAAGGACAACAGTGATCCCACATTCGGTCGTCTTCCAGCCCAAGATGGACCACATGGTTTCCTGCATCACAGGAATCATAATGTGCGAAATGAACATTAAAGGCAGTAGCTGCAAGGTGAACATTTTTTCTCACATTGTTTTTTCCTGAGTAAGAACCGCAGCCTGTTTTCATTTCCTTCTTACTGTAGTTCATTTCAGTTTCCTAAGGGCTGATAATACATTTCTGTAACTAATTCAAATTCTTGAAAATAATGGGGGGAGAAAGCTGACCATCCTTCTTAAGTGAAGAAAAATGTAAGAAGAAACATCGCATAGAGCACAAAAGGCTGGATGAGAACAGTTTCCACATTAGCAACTCACTATTCTCCCTTCTTTTTCACAATGAATCACATACAAATGATTCTGCCTTATCATATAGCAATTCTGCTTGAACTGTTCACTATCTCGATTAAGTTAATAATGTCTCTAGTTACATTATTCTAAAGGTAATAGATTCCTTGGGGCCAGCCTCCTCCCTTTTTTTTCTGTGAGACTACCGAAGCCTTCATTTTCCATCTCTTATTTTCATATACAGTTAACCACAAAATTTGCATATCGCAGAAGGTGCCCGTGAACTTCAATTTTTTTGTTACTTTTAAAAACTTTCTGTTAGGAATAGTTTTACTTAGCACATCAGAACCAAACATAATTATTTAGTGTTCCAAATTTAGCTTATTAATTTTTTTGTGCATTTTTTTCTTAGCAATTCAGCATTTTTTCTCACTTTGTGTTAATGTCTACAAAGAAGTGCTGCTAAGACAGCAAGGGGCTTGGAGCATGTGACATACATGGAAAAGATGACAGGAATGTGTTTATCAAGACTCAGAATAAAAAAGGGAGACACAAATCTTATTCTTGTCCTCAACAGAGTGGTTATATTACAAACAGAGACAGTTCAGAAGTAAACAATAATGGGCATGATTTGAAAGATATGGAATTCCAACTAGACACATGAGAACTTTTCACCACTGTGGTTGGTGAAGCATGGAAAGAACGGGGGAGTCTCTGTCCCTGAGGATTATCAAAACTTAAAATTACTAAGTCACAGAACAATTTAGGTCGGAATAAACCTTTGAACATGAGTCTTCATGGAGCATAAAGACCTGCTCACAGCAAGGCTCAAAAAAGTTTACACAGAAACTTGTCCAGTCAAGTCCTGAACACCTCCAAATTTCCACAACCTCCATGGGCAACTTAATCCAGTGTTTGACCACACTGCAGGGAAGTAAACAAAACAAAACAATCCAACATATTGTCCAAATTTCATTTTAAAAATAGTCCAATTTCTATCTGTCTCTGAAGCAGCCCTCATACCAAAGACAGGAAGTGAAAGCTGTAGTCTTAAACTCTGGAAAGATCAACAAATCTTCCCTAGACCTTTCTCGAGAAAGACAGCTCTGCAAACTTATGCAGATTTTACCAGCTACCAGAAGATAACTAATGAATCTAGGAGTGATTTACAGAGCAAGCAACACAATCAATTTCATTATTTTCAAGAATTGAATTACTTACAGAAATGTATTATCAGCCCTTAAGAAACTGAAATGAATTACAGTAAAAAGGAAATGAAAACACAGAAGTCAAGAACATGTAATTTTGTCTACCTTTGCACAAAAGTATCTAGCAGTTTGAAGGAAAATATATCCACTGAAAGCTCTGCAGCTACAGTGGCTTGGCAGACTCCATAAAATTGAATTTTGTGTCAAAAGGCTAGAAGCATCATATGAAGCTAGTGCCACAATCATGAAAATAAGGTAACAATGTGAGACTGGAAGATTTCCCACACTTTCAGGTCTTTTCCTTCCACAGCAAAGTTGAGGCAAGGAAGAGGAAAGGCGATTCAGTGCTGCCAAGGTAGCATCCCTCATCTTCTGTCAGCACACGTCACCATCCCTTCTCCAAAGCTCACGGTTCAAAACCCAAGCAAATGCCACAAAAGATTTGCACCTGGCACACTGCAAAGGGCTCCACGAGCAGGGCACTGCAGCACCACACTCTTGCAGCTGCACAGGCCTCACTTCTGCAGCACCACAGCCCCGGAGAGCTTGCGGGAACTCTGCGCTGGGCAGCTCTGCACACAGCGTACCACCCGTCCCAAATGGTTCTCCACAACCAGTTCCTGGGAAGGAAGAGCACCCAGAAAACCTTCTGGACTTCAGGAATATCACATGTTCAAAACAGACACCGAATGCCCTGGCTTGCACAATGAACTCTTGCCATCACTGACAAAAATTCCAGTTGCGTTTTAAGCTGCTGCACAGCTTAGGCAGAAACTTAATGATGCAAAACCCTGCAGTGGGGCTTTCTGGTTGGTCTTCTTCCCTGAATTACAAATGCACAGAAAATACAGAAACAACCCCTGCCCGCCTGAGGGACTGACACTGTCTTTTCAGCAATCACTGCTGGGAATGCCTGCACTGCCAAAAACAATGGGCACAGGCAGGAGGTGAGCTGCTCTTCTTACTCCTCACCACAAGGGTACAACACCTGAACCATAGTACTCCTGCCTCCACTGCCAGCTGCAGTCAGCTTTCCTTGCTGAAACTCAGGGCTTTCCTACATTTGCTCCTTCAACCATAAAACTTCACCATCCAACAGAACATCTCCCTAGAAAAAGTTGCCATGGAGATTTCTTTAGCCAATTTAAATGTTCTGGGAGCCTGCAGAATCAGCACCAACATTCATAGGCTCAGCAAGGTTTTGAAAATTATTGATCTGCTGGTAATATCCACAACCTTTGTAAAAATGAGAAACAAAAAATGACTGTAACATGGAAAAAAAAAGTTTCAAAGGGAAAGTCTGCCCTTTTTGAGGGGGAGGATTGTATCAGAACTCCCTACCAAAATTATATTTACTTTCTTTTTAAATTCATGGGAATACATGCACATGCATTAAAACTCTGCAGAAAGTCAGACAGAGAGATCAAGCTTCAATAAAAATTTGGATTTCATTCATGTTTCTTCAGTTTAGCATGCACACGGACACACACAAAAAAACCCTACAATTCCAATACTGCCAGAAACTAACACCATTTTTACTAATCCTGGTGAGGATTTAGTGTCCAGTATTTAATAAGACTTGTTCCAATTCAGGTATTAA